TTACCAACAACTAAAACATCCGGGTGTTATCCACGTTATTCTCATACTAAATCTAAAACACAGCACTATACCAACTACTAGGAAGAAAATTAACTCTATCCCAGCCAAAACCAGGACACCTTTCTGCCTCTAGCCCTTCTAGTGTCCACCACAAGATCTTGCAGTTTCTCTCCGCACCAGCAAGTCTGTCTGCTGCTGTTGAACAGAGGTACTTTTCAATCTGTTTAAGCCCTGTGACAGTCTTCAGGTGATGGTTCATAAATCTTACCCAGCCTTCCTCCCCCATCTATACTGGCCTGGGTATCTTCTAGAGAGTAGAGAGGTCAGTGGATATCCGTGCTGTCCCAATCCTCATGCCTTTGAGGCTCTTTCAGCTGGGAAATCTTCGGCAGGGCCTTCTCCTCTGTCTCTGCACCCTTCAGGGTGTCCACGCATGTCCCGTGCTGCCAGAAAGATTCTCACTTAGCACTGAAGTGGCCAGTGAGATGATTGCAGTGGAAACCCCAACATATTTCCTGGTGGTGCTGCTCAGGGAGAAGGGTGGACAAGGGTACAGCTTGCTCTTCTTTCATTCCACACCTCTGTACTAGAAATGAGAACGTACTGGGTGACAGTGTTTGGGGGAGAGGGAGGGACAGCCCTAAGCAGGTAAGGAGTGGGCTTAGGTTGGCCAGTGCTCCGGAGATGGCTGACAGTGCTCTGAGAACTTGAGATGATCTCTATCACTGTCAAGAAAAAGTGACTGGAGAAGTCGGGCAGAAAGGGTATCTTCCTCTGACTGGCTTACTGCATTCTTTGAGAAGATAGATGCGTTTGGAGGTATGACGAGGTAACATGTTTATCTGAGCAGTTGCCCTGTGGGTAAACGCAAGCATTGTTGGTTGCCCAGCATGGGTTTGTGTTTATTCTGTGCCTGATTTAGCTAAGCTAGTGTTTCTTGGAAATGATTTCCAGCTCTTAGCAATCGGGAAGTCAAACATTCTTCCCCTGCCTATCACAACCCTTGCAGAGTTCCCCCAGTTAGTCATTAAGCTGCTTATCACATTTGCCGTCAAACGCTGCCGTGATAAGCTTTCACGCTGTGTTCCGTGGGTGGGGGCTGAACTGGTCAGGCCGAGGCAGGTCTCCTGCGCCGCGGGACGTGTCTCCGGGCTGCCTGCAGGGACCCCGATCAGCACAGCTCACCGTGGTCTGCACCGGAGCTGAGCCACTTGCAGGCACAAGCGGGGCAGTGCCCATCCGCAGCTTGGAGTTTGCACAACATAGCAGGAATTTTGTTGATGTCCTCATGAACCCATGTTAGAAATGATAATAGGGATTCATAACCAGCCAATGTTGGTCTTGTTGCATGAGGGTGTAAGCGAGAGCTGTGTGTCTGATGTTGCATGGGAACTGTGGGTTTAGGACCTGCTGGGGTATATTTGTGTTCCAGTTTGCTCAGAATCATCAGTTTAGCATGTTTTCTTATGCGCTCAACCTAAACAGAAATAAGCACAAGCACATGCCAGCGGAGTTTCCGAACGCGCCGTGCTTTGGTGTCAGATGTGAAGTGGTAGCAATTCTGGTCTGCTTTTACTCCACCGTCTGGAAGCCATGTATTCATGGCTTACAACAGGTAGCAGCGCACAGTCCTACACTAATAGCAGAACAGCCGGCTTAAATGGAGAGCTTCGGTGGCAGCGTGCTCAGAGGGACAGGTTGGCCCCACGGTAATCAGTCAGCGGGCATGTCCTCCAACCCACGTTACTCTCGGGTCCAAGAACGGCTCCTCCCTTCTAGAGGTTGCCCGTGTCTCCCTCTGGGGAGTGTGGGCAGCTTACCTTCAGACAGGGGAGGTCAGGAGAGATGAGTCCTACCCCTGGTCCAGCTGTTTGTTAAGAGCCTCTTGCTGAGTGCATTCAGAAGAAACCCAACCTGCTCTGCGCTGTGCCGAGGTGGGGGAGGTGGAAGGGCTTAGAGAGGTGCATCCCACAATAGAAGAAATACAGCAAAATCCTTATGGACTACTCACAAGAGCTATAATTGGGGAATCTGTATCACTGTTATTGTTATTATCTTATCATAATAATAAAATGGAATGGCACATGACTTTTGTCTCCTAAATGAGAGGGAGTACCTTTCAGTTTGGGTTTTTTTCTAAGATGTTTGTAGTTACCTATAGGAAGATTAAAGGAAGGTGCAACTGCAGTGCGCTTGTCAGATTTGTTTCTATTCCAATTGCACCTCGAGTGTTTTCTTAAAATGGGCTTTACCAGAAACTACCTTAGAGAAAGGGTCTTTAAAGACTGAGTTTTTGTTCAGGTCTTTCCACTAAGTTAGCTAAAACAGTGGAGATCAGCTGGAGGTTATGTCACGGTGAAATGTTCTATGCAGAGCCATTTAACTCATGGACCTCCAGCATACAACAGTCAAATGACCTTGCTTTTAAAATACGTGCTGTGGGATTTGTTACAGAAGCTCAAGGCTTTCTCTGATGGATGAACTGCTGGGTCATCCACAAAAGGCAGCACAAATGAGCCGAGAAGGTTGAAAATGTAAACAAGACTGAATGGTAGCCAACCTGCCTGATGCAAACCAGAGGAGAAGAAAACCTGTTTGGCCTGCCCATATCAACATGTGGTGGCTCTGAAATCCAAGCAGACCTAAGCATCTCCCATTGGACCACCTGTTTACACAAAACAGGAAGCTTTCGGATTTTTTTTAGTTGAAAGAGGATTTTATCCGGCCGGAAGCATGCACAATTCACAATGAACCAATAATTTCCATTACTGTTCGGGAAAGTAATAGCCCTCTGTCTCTCAATTTTTTTTTTAAAAAAGCTCCAATTAAAAAAGTCATCTATTTTAGAGTATTACACTGGAAAAACACTTGATAAATTGCTAGCAGAGACTTCTGAAAGAGTCTGCATCGAGCACGTGTCTTTCTATTCCTAGTAGGTGCAATTTAGGTTGGGCACAGGAATTAAGTTTCTGATCTCAAGTGTCCAGTGACTTCTAGAGTATTTCATTAGATCCCCATCCTGCCGGTGGCTCTGTATATTGCACGAGTAATTGCTATACTTGTGTTATATTGGATCCTTGGAATTTCATAGTATAAAACAGGTAATCTTGAAGCACGTTGCTCAAGTCCGTGCACCAAAACTTAGTTTGTGGGTAGTATTTTATGCTATTCGCTTTGGTATGTCTTAGACCCAGTAAAAAGAAAGGAGTGGGGTTTCCTGCTATCCCCCTTTTTCCACTGTTTTAAACTGAGACATTCAAATCTAAACATTTTATAGCATACCTAATATTGTCTATCTGGTTTTGACATGCTAGTTGGCATTTGTGTCTAGTAATGATGTGCCTGAAGGTATCTAAACATTTCCCTTCGTTTCAGGACATACTTGCCTACATGTTTTTACATATTCTTTGGCTAAGTTGCTAATGCAGTGCTGTAGAACTTTTTTTTTCCCATATGTTTTTTTTCTATGCGAGTTTGAACTGCAGCTGAACTTCTCTAAGCTGTGAGAAAATTCAGATCCAAATCCCTTAAGATCGGTTCCCCATTTCATCTGGACAGTGTAGTAAACTTTGTTCCTTAAAATTTGGACTCAATGATCTTAAGGGTCTTTTCCAAACTAAATGATTCTATGATTCTATGAAATAAGCATCACGAAGGAGAAGCCTTATTTCCCTTCACGTTTTGGCTGTACTGCTCCATAAATTGAAAAGATTTCTGTCCCTGGGTGTTCTTCCTCCCCCCGTACTTACTTCCTCCGGTATGCTGGGTCATTCTTGCAGGAAATGTAGAGTGGGGAAGAGATCAAATGGGTTCAGGGAAAATGCTTCCCCCCAGGAAAGGTTTTCGTTAGCTAATTTCCTGCCCAGAATTCGCTCAATTGCATCAGAGTTTCAGCAGTCTGTCAAAATTCAGACGTCTCTTGTGATGTAAATGGGTGATGGAAAATGCCTTACACTCTCAGCAGTATTAGAGGAATGGTGTGCTATTAACGCTTCATGCTAACTAGTAGCTAAATTAAGGTGCATGGATTTAATGCCTAGCATATGGTCTGTTTTTTTGTGCAGCCCCTCATGTTTTACTACCTAATTGCTTCTGGAAACAAACTGGTATGTTACAGCATTTATGTTGAGGGCATGCTCCTCATCCTTCTAATGCTCAGATTTTTCTCCATTTGCAGTTTGAAGGGAGGAAGTACTGCGAACATGATTTTCAAATGCTTTTTGCCCCTTGCTGCCATCAATGTGGTAAGTTTTACATCGAGGTGAAACACGTCAGACTGATCACAAATGGGAATGTCACTGGGGGAAGATGTGCAACCCTTGTGTATGTTCTCTGGGAGGTGGCCCTGTGTGGCTGAGCATCTGAACTTCCAGAATGAACTAGACTTCAGAGAGTTGGGGAAGCTGCTTTTCCTAAAGGTCATTAAACAATAGGATTAAAAAAACCCAAAAGTTTGCATTATTTGAGTGAATAGTTTAGCTGTCGATCCAGTGATCCAATGAACAGACTATTCATGAACTCCTGGTTATATACACCATTCATCGACTCCTGATTATATATATCTGTACATCTGCATGTGCTCGTATTTGGCCCTTCTCATGCAGCTGAAACCCTGCAACAAGTCATTGTCATCTGCTTTGACTACTGTAACCCACCCGTGCTGTCTTACTCCACAGAAGCGGAGACAGTCTTCATCCTCTAGCGTTATAATCAAATGACGGTCAGCTGGTCCCCCCCATTGTATTTTTGAAACAAATACCTTTAAGGCTTCGGGGCCTAATGTCCACCCTACATAACACTGAGGGCTGCTTTTTATTTGCCATTGATGATGCTTGCGTGTCTGCTGCACTGTAATCATCTGCATGGGTTTTTTTTTCCCCTGTGCGTGACACATCGTGCTCGGGCAGGGCTGGGAAGTTATTACCTGAGTATTGCTTAAACTGGTCTGGAAGGTCTTGTGTTTCTCTGGCACTTGGCAAGGTGCTACGGCTTTCACTTATCTCAGTGAGGCCCTTCCCCATGCGGAGGGAGGGGTTGAACACCGAGGGAGAGGGAAGCAGATGTTATGGACCTTTGAATTTAAAGCTGCAGATGTGAACAAGCAGGGGAAGAGGAAGAAATGGCTCGGTGGCAATTTTTGAGGAGCTACGCTGCCTGTCTCCAGGATTTCTCCTGCTCAGCCGGCACAGCTCCCATTGCTCCTGCCCTGGCTCCTTGTAGCGCCAGCTCCCTTAAAACTTCATCAAGGTCCTGCGCAGAGCTGGGCTTTGCCACTGCTTGGATTTAGTAAGCACAGCCAAAATCGGCAGGGCTGTTGTCAGCAATGAGGCCTCGAGCATTCCTGACATTTCTAGAGTCCATCAGGTTTTGTTCTTGAAAAGCTATGACTTCATGGGAATGCCACGGAGCCGCGTGCTGGATGTTATCGTCTGCATCAGTTACCTGCCCCAATGCTCCCCTTTGGCAGCTGTTTGAGTTGTACGTTCTCCAAAGCCAGGACTCAGCCTCCCACGGCTCTGGGAAGCTGAGCTCCCAACACATTTTAGGCAGAGCCTTTGCACTGCTGAGGGGCCTTGGCTACAAGGTCTGCATAGAGAATGACTAAATCACTTGTGTGGTGGACATGGCTCCACTGCCTGTGCAGTACAGTCACACCCTGCATGCAAAACAGTAGTTCTCACACTATTTTTTTAATGCCTCGCGGGACAGGACTCCTCGTGGTAGGTCAGAAGTTGTGTGTGTTGGATTGACTGTTCTGCAGCTTCGCTGCAGCTTTGCGTTTTGACTCCATGGAGGTTTTTTTGCAGGAGGTCCACAGCCACCCAAGCTCAGTTGTGTTGTGCTTTCAGTATAGAGCCCCTTCAAGGCTTGGTCCTGGTGGAGTAGAAACCACTACGATGTACATGACACGTTAAAATTGTCATCTTCTAAAAGAAAAGAAGGAGAAAGATGATTAGGACACAAGAAAGCCTTATTATATAAAGAACTCCATATATTTCTTAACAGCTTGAGAACAGATAAATAAAAACAGGGAAGGGACTGAAAAAGGGTGATTGCAGAGAGAAGTGGAGTGTGCATGTAGAAGGGCTTGTAAAGAACAGAAGGTCCTCCATCAGCAAGGACATTTTCTTCTGACCCATCGCAAAAAACCCAAACAAACCCAAACTCCTGAGTTTAGAACCAGAACTGTGATACTGAAAGCAACGTATCCTACCAGATTTGAGGGGGGGGAGGGGAGGGGTGGAAGAGGATGATGACATTTAGCAATTCAGTTGTGGGTTACTTTTAACTTTGTCTAGCATGGTATTTTACATCCTGGTGTTGTGTTTCTTACAGGTGAGTTCATTATTGGTCGTGTTATTAAAGCTATGAACAATAGCTGGCATCCAGAGTGCTTCTGCTGTGATATCTGCCAACAAGTATTGGCTGATATTGGATTTGTCAAGAATGCTGGCAGGTAGATCTTCACTCTTCCTTCTATTACTGATCATGAACAAAATGAACTGAGAAAGGGGACTGAGAGGTCTTGGTTCCTGAAGCTTTCCAGCTGAGGTGGAGTAACTGAAGTGTCTTTTGTGGGGAAAAGGTCTAAGAATGGGTATCTTTTATACACTTAAAATATTAACAGTTTACCTACTTCAACACCAGTTTTCTCAGCAAACATGTTCTTTATCTGGTAACATTTTGGGGCCATTGTGATACCTAATAAGAGACAAAACATTCAGATACAGAAGCATTGTCTTTATTTTTTTAATATCAGTTTTTACTTTTTTTTTCCAACTTGGGTATCCAATTTTGGTCTTGTTTAGCACCTTATTTATTAATAATTGCTTTAAGTTCAGTGGGACACGTCACAGAGTAGGATATTTTTACCAGCTGTGATCACAAGAATGTTTTACAGGTGGATTCTGTGGCCATTAGCTTCATATGTATAATATGATATTTACAGAATTAGGACCTGTGTGGTCATGCAGCTTCCAATCTAAATTTTTAAGATTTTGAGAGTAAAACATTCAGCAGTGAGAATCTATCACAAACTTTATGTGTTTCAACACAGCTTAAACTCAAATGAGCTGAAGAAATTATATCCCTGTGGTGACAGAAAATAAAATTATAGCCCTCCCTCTTCTGAACTTGGTTTGCCTAACAAGGAAATTGTTCTAAAGACTATTTTCTCTCCAAAAAAGGCTGATTGAAATGAGGTTCTAATAGATTTATGGGTTATATTTTGCACTGTAGTACCTGGTACCAGTACTTACCTCTTTTTTTAATGCTTTTTCAGACATCTCTGCCGTCCTTGCCATAACAGGGAAAAAGCCAGAGGCCTGGGAAAGTACATTTGCCAGAAGTGTCATGCCATTATTGACGAACAGCCTCTCATATTCAAAAATGATCCTTATCACCCTGATCATTTCAACTGTGCAAACTGCGGGTAACTTGAGTTCTGCAAAGGAAAACCAGAAAATGCTGGGTTTATTTCCGTCATCGATTTACATCTTAAAGTGAAAACCTGTCCTGTATAACTGGCAAGAGGGGTGGGGTTTGGGTGCCTTGCGGCCAGATGTGTGTTACTGCTTTTGGGACGGTGGAGTTGGACCTTGAGTTCAAACAGCAGCTGACCTGTCGGGCAGTAAAGAAAGGTTGGACTCTGCAGGACAAGGTGGTACCTTACAAAATACGAAGGGTGGACACAGTGAAATGATAGCTTGTTATTCTGCTATGAGAGGAAGAAAAGTGGTCCTCTTTGGCTGCTTGAATTACTATCTTGCCTATGTTATTTCTTTTTAGTTAAGTGGCACGCAAACTTTGTTCTCTCCCTTTAAAGCCTATCTTTTTCTTAGAAGCTTTCTCCCACCTCATCTTATCAGCTTCTGCAACTGCAGTACATGAAGCTGCACATTTCTACATCCTGCACTGATGCAGAGATCAGTGCGCATTGTAGGATACAGCACGGATTATTAGTTCTTTATTTTTGGTGCAAAAGAAGCTATCATGTCAGTGCCATAGCAAAGGCTGATTTGAATAACAACATGTGGTGGTGTGTCAGTGGCAACCAGTTGAGAGCATTAGTGAGTACAGTCACATTTAAAGTTTAGCTGTTCTCAGTATTCTAACCATGGAAATGACTAAAAAGTAGAGTATATGAGATTCTGCAATGGGCAATGAATAAACTTAGCTAGCTCATGTGGGTCTGTAGTTTTCTTTCTCTGAAGTTTGATACAACAGGGGAAATGTACCTAGTTGTAGAAGACTACATTTTACTTTCAGTTACAGTTATGCAAATCTAAAATAAACTGGTAGTAAGAGTGCCAGAATATAAACCAAACATGTCTACAGCTTGCACACACACATTTGTGCTACATAACCAGAATGCAGAATGACAATAGCTCAGTAGCTGTTTTCAGAGAGACTTAGTGAATCTCGCTTAGCAGCTTGTTCTGGGTTCACTGTGATCAGTCTTGAACTATGCTGAACTATGTCATATTTGATGTTGTTGGATTACTGTAGTACAAATACAATTTCTAAAACAAATGCTAAAAATTCTTTTTTTCTTTTCAGACACTCTCAAGGATTGACATTGTTCAGTGCCTTTATTCATGCTCTCAATTCATTAACTTTTGAACAGGAAGGAACTTACTGCTGATGCTCGTGAGTTGAAGGGAGAGTTATACTGCTTACCCTGCCATGACAAAATGGGTGTCCCCATCTGTGGGGCATGTAGAAGACCAATTGAAGGCCGTGTGGTGAATGCTATGGGCAAACAATGGCATGTGGAGGTAAACATCAGATGATACATTGTCTTTTCCAAACATAAACATTAATATACTTATCTGGGATTTTGCTGATCAATTTCAATGAAAGGATTCGCAAAGTATGCAGCGGTGATTAGTAAATGCCTTCTCCTAATCCCATCTTCAGCCTTCTTGTGGCTGGTCTTCCACTGTGAAATAGAAGTTATCTCCTACCTTACAGAGAGCTTTGACTGTGAAGCTAAAATCAGTAATCAAAGGAAGCACTGTGAGGTCCTTACAGAAGAAAATTTCAGAGTGCAAAACAGTACATGTGGAAGGGCAGTAAAATTCTGTGGCAACCATAATATTAATGAGCATGATAATATCCTTATGTCTTCCATAGTCACCTGCCATGTAAATATCTCTAAAGCACTTTATGTGAGCGTTTGTATTGCAAGGCCATGTACAAGATTTAGGAAGATAAACAGTCTATTCCTTTTGTTGTTTTGAAAATCTCCTCCAGCAAACGCTTTCTTCACAAGAGTGTAATGTTGGTGCAGATTATTTAAAATCTCTTCATTCTGTTCATTGATAACATATCAGAATCCCTTTGCTTGATTTTTTTTTTTAGTGGTCTAAATGTAGAAACAAAAAAGTTTTAACTCTCCTTTTCAAGATGGCACAGCTAGCTCAGTAGACTTCAATCATGTTCAGTACTGGGCTTGGTTGGTTTACTTTCTGGAAAAAATACCATTACTTACAAGTAATCCAAAAAAATGTATATAATTTTCTTTGTAGCATTTTGTTTGTGCAAAATGTGAAAAGCCATTCCTGGGTCATCGTCATTACGAGAGAAAAGGCTTGGCCTATTGTGAAACCCACTACAATCAGGTAAGGTTGCATATTTTTAAAAATGGTGTGAATTGGTAAACTCATTAATTGGTTTTATTAGATAGAGATGGAAACCCATGGACATTCTTCTGTTTTCTTATAGGCACCTGTGGGTATAATGGCAGTTAGCAGATGTTCTGTTGCAGTTAATTTATACAGGTTTCTCTATACATCGGTGTGGTATTGAGAAAGAAGACTGCAGGGATTTCACAAAGGCTAGCCAGGACAATCAGTATCGAGTTGTTTGTCAAGCTTAGTGGTACTTAAGTAGAGCTGTTACGAGCTTTTACGTGTCTGTGAGATCAGTGCAGCTAATGACACCCAATCTTTCCCAAGAAGCTAAAGAAGATTTGCCACTCAGTAGCTGCGGTTTAAGATGAGGCCCTAGTGAGTAGTGAGGTGTTCCCTACAGCTGCGACTCTAAGATGACTGTGCCTTAACATACACTGCATCACCCAGCTCATTCAACAGGTTACTGAAGACTGCGAAGACTAAATTTGTCAGAGGACACCACCTAGTGACCACTTGCTTTTATATAGGAGTTATATACCGTGGTACCACCTCTCTCCAGACTGCCTTGATTGTGTAGTCCAGCTACATCGTATACCATGATGTATAGACCTTTTTGTTTGGAAGTCATCTGCGTTGCGTCATGTCCACCTCTTCGCTTGTATAGATGCAAGACTAGGGGTTACATTTGGGAGTTGTAGGGCATCTGCTAATTACAGATGGATTCTTAATTTGTTGGTGATGAAGGGCAGATGATTGCAATGTTGCTGGCGTACTTACTTGTAGACAATAAATGCCATGACATTAGTAGTAATAGTGTTGCAGCCATGATGGGGCAAATGCATATACCAGACAAGAGCTGTATGGTCAACCTGTTACTAGGTTAACCACTACAGTTAGAGAAAATACATGAAATTTTGGGAACTTCTTAATTGTTACATTGTGGACAAATGTTAAGCCTGGAAATAGAATGAATAAATTTTGGCCTGAATTTTCCTTTTTTTTCTTGTTTTTTTTTTTTTAATAAAAATAACATTTCCTTACAGTTTTTGCCAGAAACAGCAATATGTTGCTCTAGTCATGCACACAAGTCCAAACTGGCTGATTAGTAATCATGTGTATATAACACTGACTGCTGTATTTCAAATGTTCAGGATTAGAGAAATGTTAAAAAAACCCAAAATCGTGTTTACAGAGAATCAACAGATGTAAACAAATATTTTCATCTTTAATATTGTAAAGACTTTTTGTGATGAGATCATGCAAAACGTACTTGGAAAACCAAACCAGACTTGCCATCATTCTCTTTATTTTACTGAAATAAATAGGAAAGCTATTGTGCTCATCAACTGAAATGTAGTTATTTTGTTAGTTTGAGAAGCTACCCTCAATAAAATCATTACATTAAAAATTCATTACTTCTCTTTCGTCTTCAGCTATTTGGTGATGTTTGTTTCCATTGCAACCGTGTGATTGAAGGAGATGGTAAGCACTTTTCTGTTTCCTTCATGTTCCTTTCTGATGGAAGTTCTCTTTAAAAGTGGAACTAAGGGGAAAGCAGCTCCCTTGATTGTTCTCATTAAAACAAAAACAGCCATTCTCTTGATCAGAAATTAGGCTAGAGCTTATCAGTCCGAGACCAAATGGTGTTTCATGATGGTGTGGAAGACCACCCAGTACTGGAGAGAACTGTGGTCAACTGGAAACCCTTTAGTAACATGCAAAGGTCAGGGATGCACAGAGGTGGCTTCCTGCCCCACCGACTTCAAGAAAGCACACAAGCAAGGGCGAGGATGACCAGAGAGGCATCTCCTCAACAAATTTAGAGATCATGACCCAAATTTGAAGAAGTATTTAGATATTGAAAGATGTGTGTGGGCACTCTAAGGGATTTTTTTAAAGTGCCTAGTTTCCATTATTTCAGTTTGGTTCCTAGAGATATCTACCCACCTATCGCAGGCACCTGTCTTTTGAAAATCTAGGCTGATGATAATGTCACAAAACCAGGAAAGATCGTATTTGGAAAGATGTGTCCTATAAAGGCAGAACTGGAAGCAAGTGTTTTAAGTTTGGGGTTGGTTTTTTTTCGGGGGGGAGAAGTGTTTTGGAGGAGTTTTTTTGGACAACCAGCTATGATAAAATGCCAAAAAGCAAATTATTCTACCTGAAATAATGCAACATTATTATGTGCCTATTTACCCCTGCCTGAAGTAAATACTATAATAGCAGTGTTAGCCTCACCTAAGCCAAAGCCATTAACAAAGTGGGAGGAAGCCTCTAGCATGTAAAAAGACATAAAGTAGTTTACAGTCATGTAAATATAGGGTGGGATGTACATTCCAGAGATGTGCTTTCCCCACATTTTCTGGACTGGACTATACCTGCCGAACAACAATCCAGAATGCCTTGGAGGAAACAGTGTCCTCCTCTTCATTAAAATCCTACTAGAATGAGCAGAACTGGATCTTGAGGTGAATGAATAAATTCAGCCATGTCTGATAACTACATTTCTGTATGTTTCTAATGTTACACCACATAATCTGACACACATATTGCATGTTTTGGTGTCTGAACTGAACAGAATGTGGTGTAATGCAGTAATTTCTTTATTTTCAATGTACGTCTTCAATTATTTTACATTTCTTCTTTCATTTCTGCACACAAATTTGACACTGCTGTCACAAATGATGAGTATCCAGTATTGTTCTCTCTCTGGTGAAACAAACATCTGTGGTAGCAGTTTTTCGGGAGGGTGTCTATGGCTATTACAGAGGTTGCTTGGGAGCGAAGACTTTCATCTGACTAGTATTTTGGCAAGCAGTGGAATAACTATGCTTCTGTGGATGTGCTTGCCCCATGGTGCAGGAAAAAAGCTCTGCGTGACAACACTCTGGTTCTGTTTGTTGTTGACAAAATGCCGTATTTTATGAGAAAACCATTGTCCTGCATCTTTTAACTGAGATTAAGAAGAGAGGCAAATTTTGGCAGGGAAAGGTGGAAAGGTACATTGAAAGAGAGGAAGAACAGAAAACGGACTGAGATACAGAACAAAGAGAAAATAGTTACTTTCTCTCCAAAGCAAAGAATAAAAATATATCCAAGTTTGTCTTGATCGAGTAGTTTATCCCACGAGTCCATAAATTTTTTCACCTTAGTAGTGCTGATTTACCAGCAGTGTTCTGACTGCTGGCTTCACGTTATTTCCTTCGGCTGGGCAAGTGCTGCTGTTGACGGCACTGCAGTCTGAACAGGAGCTGAGAGACAAAACTGAATGAAAACAGAAACCACCTTCTCGCTGGATTGCTTTTCAGCTGAAGAAGTCTCCTGATTAATTTGGAAACACAGCCTCATAAAACAGTTGCCTGAGGTCAGCGTGCTATGAGGTGGAAGCAGGCAACAGGAGGCAAAAATAGGTTAAACTGGTCTTGCTGGTGAACACAGAGCCTTCCTAGTCTTGCCACGTTATTGTTACGGTCCTTAATACTTGATACAAGAATCAAATGACTGTTCTTCATGCCTCATGAACGTGTGAGCTTGAAATGTTTGTAATACCTTTTTTTTTCTTTTCTGTAATGCTAATGATTTCTTTTTTTCCCGTCACCCTAGTTGTGTCTGCTCTGAATAAGGCATGGTGTGTGCACTGTTTCGCTTGTTCAACTTGCAACACTAAGTTAACACTCAAGTAAGTTTATCAGTAAGTGTGATGCCTTCAAAACATATCGGTGGTTATCTTCAAAGTGTAGATGTTGCTGTAGTATAACTGTTATGGTATGAAAAACATATAAGCAGCATTGAGAAAATATGTGCATCTTTCTTCCTCTTGCTCCACTTACTAATTTACATCTCTTTCAGCTGTCTGTTCAGGTCTTCCTTCAGCTAGTCTTTTTAACTCTTCTCCTTTTCTGCCCTTTATTTTTTCTGTGTTTAACTCTAAAGGGATAAGTTTGTTGAAATTGATCTAAAACCTGTCTGCAAACACTGTTATGAGAAAATGCCAGATGAATTTAAGCGACGACTTGCCAAACGGGAACGTGAAGCAAAGGATAAAGAGAAGCAGAAAAAGAAAAAGCCAATCTGTTTGTAAACTTTTTTTCCTTACCACCACCACCTGTGCTCCTTTCTTCTTTGGTCAGTGCTCAGGATGCTTTTACTTTAAGTTTTTGCATGAATTTATGGCAATCAAAACCAAAATATTTTTCACACAGCTGCAACTTGAAATACTAACTTGTTATTCCATTATCTTATGTTTAGTCTGTTTAGCTCTACAATTAGGTTTGAAAGGCTTTTTAAATGATACGGTTAATAAATACGGACATTTGGGTAAAAACTGCATAACTTACTCAACAGGGTACTGTAATTACTGTCTACAATGTATAACCTTGTGAAAGTAACTTCATACGTATGTATAAATTGCAGTTGTAATTTTTTGCCTGTGCACGTTTAAGAGAATACTTCTAAAATTTTTTTTTTCACTATCCCTGCTGCTAAAACTTTGTCTGGTTTTTGCTTTGTCGTTTTAGGAATAAATTCGTTGAGTTTGATATGAAGCCTGTCTGCAAAAAGTGTTACGAGAAGTTTCCTTTAGAGCTGAAGAAAAGACTGAAGAAACTAGCTGAAACTTTGGGAAGGAAGTAAAGACTTCATCTGCTCTCCCCTTCCTTTGTGAAAATCTTATTTCTATTACTTGGGGGGGAGCTGCTTTGAGGCTGCAGTTGGACAACAAATGATGATGTATGCCTTCTATCAAATCAAAATATCTTAAGATTCTCTGTTCTCTATACATGCTTATTTGTTGATAAACAGACCATACTTCCAAACTAAATTAAATACCAGCTCACCTGAAAGGTTTCTGACCCTGATAATGCAGTTGAACTGATGCAAGTGGCCCATTCTGCACAGTAGTCTCTGCGGAAATTTTACAGAGACAGAAAATTTGCTTCTGAATACCTGCAAAAACAAACTGTGCAAATGTGTCCAACTTTAGGGGCATGTATTGTCATTTATATTAATGAAAATATTAACCTTCAAATACAGCATGCACACAAAACTTGCCCAAGAAACCAACATACTTCGCCTCGTGGAAAAAATCATGCTTGGATTTCAAGCCAAGTCGTCTCATTAAAGGAGCCTTGTTTCAGATAGTTTGAAAAGTATCAGATTTCTAAATACAGTCATTGCACAAATGACCTACTTCTGATAGAGTATGCTTATGTGATGCATCTTTGTACATCGGGCTCAGCATGAAATACCTATATAAAATATATATTCCTATTGCAAGAAATGAGCATACCCAGAACTACTTGAATTTTGCTATATTCCACTCCAAATAACACATTAACTTTTATATATGCTTTTGCATTCTATTTACTTTTTGTGCCTTATTCTGCTGGACCATACATAACAGTGTTCCATTAAATATATATATATAGTTTTATTTTTTATTTTGTATTTTTATGCAGAAACTATATACAAGGTATTTTCGAAAGATAACATACTTTGCCTTAATTAAACAGGATGTGAGAAGTATTTTATTTCAAATGTGAACATCTGAGCTTAAAATTTAGCTTCTAGATTTCATTAATTTTCAGAACAATACTGAAAATGCATATTTCAGTTAACCGGCAATATTACTTTTACACCTCTGAGTGTAAATATACAAGGTTTGATCCTGCTAGGATCTGTTTCTTTAGCCATCCTCAAGAACTGATCTGATGAGAAATCATCAGAATTCCTTATAACATACATTTAATTGTTTTATACTATTGACCATGCAAATCTGTTTTATTTTCCCCTTTCATATAGAAAATAGAGTTACTTAGGACTTCTTGATGGTACTACAATACGAAGTACGCAAACATATTTTTTTTTTAATATTAGTGACTTAAACAGATTTTATGTAGTTACATCATAGGAAGTAAAATTTTCTTTCCTGTTTATGAAAAATTAGTTGCTTTAAAACGTCTTCTTTCCAGCGTCATCAATAAAGGCTATGTTATTAAACCTTGTATCACCTCTCTTAAATGAGTGTTTGAGAATGGTGGGAAAGCAACTAGGCTCTCTTTGTTCCCTATGCTTTTACCTGTGACTGTACATAAATCCTTATTATCCTGATTTAAAGGAGACATATGCCTTTCCTAAATATCCCACCGTAGTTCTTAGGTTCATGAAAGAAACTGCAGTTTGTTTCATAAAGAACAGCTGGATTCTTCTGGATATGTTCTGAATTGGCACAATCGCTAGGTTTTCCTAAAGAAAATACCTTTCCCGAGTTTAAAACATACACCTTTCTCTCAATTTTTTCTCTCTTCCTTTCACTGTAATGAAACTGTCACCCCAAACTTCCAGTTTAGTGCTAGGTAGGGTATTTTTTGACTATTTTATCCTATGTAGTTATTGAATGCCATAACAGTTCAGTAACTGAATGCAGTAACTGACTCTGTTCAAGACTAGAAAAGCTTAAAATGTCCCCAAAAAATGTTTACAAAACTAGCACAGTAGCCCTGCTGGGATTTTGGACTGTGCCATGGATTCAGTAGACCATACTCAGCAATGCTTGCTTTAAATTGTAATTCACTTCTTGTTCTAGGTACACTGACTGTACATCTTTTCCTTCAGCCTATGCTTAGTGCTGAAAGAGTTGAGAAGGGTCCCTAACCCTGAGGCTAAACGGCAAGACCTGGCTTATCCACGCTGCTTGGGGTTACATCCATCCACAACACAATGGCCTTGTCCGCCCTGTGCAGCCACGCGTCCTCTCTCGACTCTGTGGTAGCTAACACGGGATGTTTTTTTTTTCTGTTTCCAAGTTCCTGCTGGTGAATGCTGTGCTACAGTTCACCAAGGTGGCGGTTTCCATTTCATAAACATGAGAGTGTGTATCCCAGACCCTGCGACGCAGCGCTGAGAGCGTCTCAGGGTACTTGAGGGTTCAAAGCCTGATGAATCATGGAAGAATGTTGGTTGGAAGGGACTGCTAGAGGTCAGCTAGCCCAACCATCCGCTCAAAGCAGGTCTCACTTCAAAGTTGGATCAGTACTGAAGGTCTTGCTCAGCCAAGCTCTGAGTATCTCCACGGAAGGAGATTTCACAGACCTTTATGGGCAGTATGTTCCAGTGTTTAGTCACCCTCGTGGTGAAATTTTTTTATTACTGGAGTCCTATCTCGAGTGGCGGGTTCCCCAAATCCACACTGCTCTCTTGGGAGCTGTCTTTGGAGTGAACTGTCATTGAAATAATACCCCTGGACATTGTCATGAAGAGGATTAATTAAAAGCAGTTGCAAAACAGAGCCAGGGAACAAGCTGCCAATTAGGCAGCCTGGACAATTACAGGTCTGGTGTTGAAGCTCACTTCCTGGCCTGTCAGTTTTAAAAATATTTTGCGTAGCTGGACACACCTTCCTGAAAGAGGCGGAGTTTATTATTGTTTTTCTACCAGTGACCCCTACTAGGTCTCTCAAAGAAGGCTGCGAGCCTGTCGTGTGAGAATGGATGCCTCAGAAGCTTTGCCCCTTTCTGCTGCATGGCATCAGTCATGCATGGGCAAGAGATTCCTTTTGAAGCCCCTGCTTAGACTAACAGTAGGTAGCACTTCAGAAATCCCAATGGATGTAGCTGTAGGGAGACGCAGCTGAGCCTAAAGCCTTTCTGCCGCTGGCAGTGGCAAGCCCTGTGCTCTGTTCCAACACACAGGTAGCGAGCCAAGCTGAGCACAGTCAGATTGCAGGGACAGCACTAGTCAACTGCTGTCCTGCCTGGTGAGCTGCCTTCCTGGTGTTGCGACCACCGGGGACAATACGGGGGGGTGCCACTTCCTCAGGGATGGGCGAGAGACAGTGGCCAGTGTCAAGGCACTGGACCCTGTCTGTATGAAGGCAATTTCCCACGTCTCCCCATCAGCCGAAGAGCAGAAATTTCCTCCAGTGAGCTAACTGCGCCAACTCTTGGCATTCTCCCCTGCGCTAGCACCAAGACTTTTATTACTTAGCCCGGCAGGTGCTGATAAATTATTTGGTAACCCCAGTTGTAGACACACCACTCAAAAAAGCACAGAGAAAAGAAGATCCTCTTTCTTCTTAGGGAATTAAATCCAACGTCTAAATAAATCACCAGAAATAGAGCAAATAGTAAAAGAGAGGGTTGATTCTTTCAGCCAGGGTGTTACATGGATGCTGTTGGCCTCCTTACAGGAACAAGTTGGGTTATGTTTTTTTATTTTTCTGGCAAAGATGGCAAGAGCTTTGGGGATGTCGTATTTTCTAGGTGTTGCAGGAATTCTGTGGCTGTCAATGGGTTCCTTCAGATTGAGAATGGGACCACTTTTTAATGACACTTTTCTAGAGACAGAGGCCAGTGGCCTCATTTTGACCGACATGCCTGAACTGGCTGAGGAGAGATGAGATGGGCAATTCCAGTGAGCAGAATCTGAGGCTGCCAGCTGGGAATTACACTGTGGGGCAACCACTGGTGCTCAGCACCACCAAACTCTTACAGCTGCAACTTGCCAATTTCTGCTGTCTTGAGGGCTCCTGATCTCATCATCTTCTGATCCATGTTCCCAGCTGTGCTTTAGGATGATAACAAAAAATGTAATTATACTATTCACAGTACCTCTAAAATAAGGTTTCTCACCAAAGCTGCTACAGTATGTGGAAACTCATTTTCTAGAGCACTGGGTCTCAGCGATAAGGCCCACACTTATGCACTAAATTTTTAGTTGTGGTGAACTACAAGATACAGTTTTAGGTAAGAAAATACTAAAGCACGGCTCCACACACGTGAAGACTTTCTGTGACTGTTAAGGCCCATGCACGAGTGGAAGCTGGTCTAATAACAACGGAGCAATAATTAGTTGTCCCTTAGAATTTAACGGGATACAAAGACGAAGCAGCCCGGCTTCCCAAGGAGGCTGGCAGCCGTTAAGCCGTGCCCTTATCCCGGCCTCGCTCGCCTCGCCCGGCCGCGACAGGCCACCCGGCAGCCCTGCGCCCCTCACCTGCCTCCGGCCAACGACTCCGCGGGGGGTGAGAAAAGGACCTACCACCGGCCCTCCCTCCCCACCCGGGGGCGGAGAGACGCCTGC